TGTCACTTAAGTCACACGACCCGTGTGAAAAAACCGAAGCTAAACTTGAATAGTGCCTTGAGCCACACGACCCGTGTGGCTTGTCACACGACCAGTGTGCCTTCACACGACCAGTGTGGCTACCCACACGACCCGTGTGACTTGAAAAATTCAAAATTTTAACTTTTTAAGCCTCAAAATAGCTCAATCTTGGAAATAAACTGATACTTATTACTAATAACTAAATGGGATATTACAGGAAAGCCTACAATCATTCTTGAAGCTGTAGCAAATTATGATATATGGATATAGCATGCTTATTTTGGTTTGCCGGGCTCCAATACCGGTATCAACGTTCTAGAACCATCTCATCTTTTCTCGGATCTAACACAAGGTATTGTTCTTCCAGCTCATTATATAATTCAAGAAAAAGGATACAACATGGGTTATTATTTAGCTGATAGGAAATATCTAAAATGGTCAACCATTGTGCAAACAATTCATGAGCCACGTGGTCTGAAAAAAAGATATTTTGCAATGAAACAAGAAGCATGCAGAAAAGATGTTGAACGTGCATTTGAAGTTCTTCAATCACGTTTTGGCATTGTAGCATGACCAGTACGTTATTGGCGAAAAGAAGTGCTACATGATATCATGACCACATGTATAATTTTGCATACATGATTGTCGAGGATGAACGTGACCTAAGTGCACCAATCGAAACTGAAATGGACACACCGCCGCCGGAGGTCGAAATGGCAGTAGATGAAAGTACTCGATTTCAAGAATTCACATCTCGGTACAAAAAAAAATAGAAATAAAGATGATCACATTGCACTTTGAAATGCACTAATTGATCATCTGTGGGAGGAATTCACCAATTTCGAGACGTGAAAGACTATCTATTTTTACTTGATTGTTGTTATTTTTAATTTATCATCTTGTGCGTTGTAATTTTATTTTTATCTTGTATGTTGTAATTTTTAATTTCTAATCTTGTGCGTTGTAATTTTTATTTTCATCTTGTGTGTTGTAATTTTTAATTTATCATCTTGTGTGTTGTAATTTTTAAATTTTAATTTTTAATGACTTTATTTCTCCAATTTTATTACATCAAATCTAAATTGAATTGAAATAAATAATGTGTTTTAATTTGTAAAGTTGTAAAATATTAAATATGTGGGTAATATTGAAAAGTTGTAAAAACTAATGTAAAAGAGAATATTCCAAAAATATTTTTTTGAGTTGGAAAATGAGTTTTTCAGTTGGAGATGAATTACGGCATAATGAGTTTGAGTATGAAGTATTCGGTTGGAAAACCTAAAAAAGCATTCATAAAAACTAAAAATAACAAAATGCACAAATAGATGTTTTCATTTGCCATGTCAACCTAATTATCGACGTATCATTTTTCTATGATTATTTTCGTGAATTGACATCTATCACACGCGCTCCCACACGCCAACTGTATTGTAGAATTTCACGGACATTCTTGTGATTTTCGTTTTGTTTTTTCCCTAAAAACTCCTCATTTTGGTTTGCTGTAAAAGTTGAAGACAATCCTGATTTTTACATTAGAAAATGTAGAACAGAAAAGTTTTGTACTGTGAAGTTATGTGATCCCATCTTGCCCTCTGTCTGCACTCATTAAAATATATATGAAAATGGCCATATACGTATACGTCAATTTTCAAAATTACTTGAATAGATATTAAAATCAGGTAAAATAAAGTGAAAAAAAAAACAAAACAAGAAGAACACAGAAAGCTGAAGCCACTTGTATAAATATAGGGGTTATTGTTCTCACTGCAAGCTTAAAGCCAAGTACTTCGTAGGCACCGACACCGCGTTTTTTTATATAGAACACAATGTGCCAATGATCAGAGCTTTGTTTGATTCAGATCTGTGTTGAGAATTCACAGGGAAAGGTATGGTTCTCTCATCTCCTATTTTCTCGATGCGCGCCGGGAAATCTTGATAAATTTAGTCTTTTTTTCGAGATTTTTTCTCCGATCTGATCTTGTTGTTCCGTTTATGATGAAGATTACTTATTGGATTTCAATTTACGTTCTAGATCTGGTTTGTCGATGCTTGTTTTCTTTCTCTCGTTTTTGGTTTTTGGGGGGAGATTAACACAAATGCGATTGGGTTGCAGAAGCGAACGTATCTTGCTGATCTGAAATCGTTATTTTTATCTACGATTTATGTGTAGCATACACTGATCTGAAGATTATCTGGAATTATTACATTCTTTTGATATCATGCACACAAATTGACTTGTTGTAATTAATTCTCATGATTGTTGCTTTTATGACTTCGTACTTAACTGGTAAGGCAATTATGATTCAGGCTTTGATAAATGCATGCTAGTGAGTAGATCGTACTACCCTTTGTCCTAAATTTTGCTCCTATGCTCTTTCTTGGTTGATCCTATACAAGACGGTTCGGGTTAGGTTAGATTGTTAATTAATATCATTCGCTTGTAATGTAGGTGCAATAAGAGAAAAATATTGTCGGATTTATTGCAACATACTAGGCCTAACATGGCTTCAGGAAAATACTCTAGAGTTGATGGTCGGAAATCGTCATCGGGCTATTGTTCGACCGTCACGATTGTGGTGTTTGTGGCCCTCTGCCTGGTTGGGGTATGGATGATGACATCGTCATCCGTGGTCCCTGTTCAGAATCCAGATGTCTCGCAGGAGAACAAAAATGAGGTGACCACGCCCACCACTGAGACCAGAAATGAGGACAATAGCAATGTTGCAAATGAAGATAATGATAAAATCCAAAAAGACGAGGGCCAAGCAAAGCAGTTTGAGGATAACCCTGGCGATCTGCCTGAGGAGGCCACCAAGGGGGACACAAAAGTTGACCAGGTGGATAAGAAAGATACGCAAGACGAGGTGGATACAAATCAGGCGGAGAAAAATGAGCCGTCAGAGGAGCCAGCGAAGAACACTGATGAATCTGAGGATCAGAAGGCTGGGAATGAAGAAAAGAAGGATGAAGGGTCTAATAATGAGACAGAAAATGGAGAAGACGAGAAGAAAGCTGATAAGGAATCCCAGTCGAATCAAGACTCAGAAAATAACGAAAACACCTCCTCTGATGATGGGGAGAAGAAGTCCGAAGAAGATTCAGGCAAAACAGATGGTGACAAAGGAGAGGGTCAGACAGATGAGAAGACCACTGACGAAAAGAATAAATCTAATGAAGTCTTTCCTTCTGGCGCCCAATCGGAGCTTACGGATGAGTCGGCAACACAGAACGGATCATTTTCGACTCAGGCGACAGAGTCAAAAAATGAGAAAGATGCTCAAAAGTCATTGCAATCAGAGATTCAAAGTAAATACAGCTGGAAGGTTTGCAAAACCACTGCCGGGACGGATTTTATTCCATGCCTTGATAACTTGGAGGCAATAAAAAAGCTTACTTCGACTAAGCACTATGAACACAGGGAGAGGCACTGTCCCGATCAATCACCTACCTGCCTTGTTCCCCTTCCCGAAGGTTATCGACGTTCGATTGAGTGGCCCAAAAGTCGGGAGAAGGTATATTATTGCCAAACAGACTAATTTTAGATTAATTTGTTCTCTCTCTCTCTCTCTCTCTCTCTCTCTCTCTCTCTTATTGGCATTGCTTTCTGTTTTCACAGATTTGGTACACTAATGTGCCCCATACAAAGCTTGCAGAAGTTAAGGGACACCAGAACTGGGTTAAAGTTAGTGGTGAATACCTTACGTTTCCCGGTGGTGGCACCCAATTTAAGCATGGTGCTCTTCACTACATTGACTTCATACAACAGGTAACATATGTTGCACTTGCTTTACTTTATTCTTTGTGTCTCTGAGACACGATATCTTCTTCCACTAATGTATGTATATTTTATAACTGAAGATTGGAAAAAAGATTGTCTGTTTCTTTCTTTTCTTTTTTGAATATTTCGTGATTTTAAATAATTGTGTAGCATTGCATTATTACATTACAAATTAATTTGTATACGATGAATTCGTATCTATCTCTTTCCTTCTGCCGAAGTAGATTCAAAAGTATGTTTAATGGCCAGAATGGATAGGTTGCTAAGCTAACTTGCTTTGACTCTTTTTGCTTGTGTAGTCTGTACCCGAGATTGCCTGGGGCAAGCGTTCCCGAGTGGTTCTGGACGTTGGCTGTGGGGTTGCTAGTTTTGGTGGTTTCCTCTTTGATAGGGATGTGCTGACTATGTCATTAGCCCCAAAAGATGAACATGAGGCTCAGGTTCAATTTGCGCTTGAGAGAGGAATCCCAGCAATATCTGCTGTTATGGGTACTAAGAGACTTCCGTATCCTGCCAGAGTTTTCGATGTTGTTCATTGTGCACGTTGTAGGGTGCCATGGCATATTGAAGGTACTATAGTTCTGGATTTCCTCAACTATGAATTACATTCATAATCTGATATTTGTAATGCATATTTCTTGTATTTAATGGACTTGGTTTGTTCTTTAATGTGTTGTTTAGGTGGTAAGCTTCTCTTGGAGCTGAACCGTTTACTGCGACCTGGAGGTTTCTTTGTTTGGTCTGCGACCCCCATTTATCAAAAACTTCCAGAGGATGTTGAGATATGGGAAGGTACTTATTCTATTCCACTTCTACCAGAAGCTCAGTGTTTCTTTGACACTGAGACAAACAGTTGATGTTCATGTTTTATTTGTGTCAGCCATGAAGCAGTTGACACAAGCATTGTGCTGGGAAGTTGTCTCGATAACCAAGGACAGAATAAATGGAGTTGGTATCGCCTTGTACCGTAAACCCACTACAAATGAATGCTATGAACAGAGGTCGAAAAGTGAGCCTCCTCTATGCAAAGACACTGATGACGCCAATGCTGCTTGGTATACCTTTTATTTCGTCAATGGGAAAGTTGCTTTTGATTTGTAATTGAAAGTTTGCTCGATGTTTTGTTAAAAGCTAAAAGCTGATTCTATTTTTTACATTGACCAGTTTGAGTTAATCTTTTATAATGATTAGGAATGTGCCTTTGCAAGCATGCATGCACAAAGTTCCTGTTACTTCATCTGAACGAGGGGCCCAGTGGCCAGAGCAGTGGCCTGCTAGGGTTGAGAAGGTGCCTTACTGGCTGTCAAGCTCTGAGGTTGGAGTTTATGGCAAACCAGCTACGGAAGATTTTGTTGCGGATTATGAACACTGGAAGCGTGTATTTAACAACTCATATCTAAAAGGATTGGGTATAAACTGGTCTACTGTGAGGAATGCCATGGATATGCGAGCTGTCTATGGAGGGTAAGTCAGCATTTTTTTTTTTATTATATTTCCCCCAACCACCCTTCATGAAGACAGGAAAAAACCATCCTCTTGTTCTAGTTCTCTATTTGAGGCAGCAGATATTAATTATTCCAACAGACTTGTTTCATGTGATTCCGAATCAACCTTCTTTTCTTACACCTGTTATTCAAACAGTTCTTTCTGAGTTTTGATTGGTACCATGTGCTATCCTTTTTTTTTTTCCTGAATTTCTGATCTACTTTATCAAAATCTCAGTTTAAAGAAACTGAACATATAGATTCTGGCGTTTGGACTTGCTCAGTAATCATTGTGTGCCCTTTGGTTTTACGAGCTGTGCTAATGGATGACTCTATATTTTCAGATTGGCTGCTGCTATGAGAGAATTAAATGTGTGGGTTATGAATGTCGTTTCTATAGATGCTCCAGATACACTTCCTATCATATACGAACGGGGATTATTTGGAATTTATCACGATTGGTGCGAATCATTCAGTGCTTATCCAAGATCTTACGACCTTCTCCATGCTGACCATCTTTTCTCGAAGATCCAAAAGAAGTGTGTATCATCATATACCCCTTGAATTTTTAGGGATCCTAATTTTGTTTAAGATAATTTTCTAAATCATTGGGGTATTGGGCGTTACAGGTGCAACATCATGGGCTTGGTTGCTGAGGTTGATAGAATTCTGAGACCGGAAGGAAAAATTATCGTCCGTGACACTGTCGAGATCATCAATGAACTCGAGGGCATTTTCAAGTCCATGCAATGGGACATCCGGATGACCTACTCCAAGGACAAGGAAGGGTTGCTATGTGCCCAGAAATCCATGTGGCGGCCCAAAGAGGAAGAGACACTTACTTACGCCCTTGCTTAAAAAAGCATCAAAACAAGACAAAAAAAAAAAGAAAAAAGAACTCCCGGATCTCGAGGTTGTGTTTCGCTGCCACGAGAAAATAGTGTTTGTTTTTTTTCTTCGAATGTTTATTTAAGGACTTGTCTGACAGTTTTTCTGCAGGCTATAATGTAGCGCATCATAATAGCAAAAAATAGTTTTTGTCTTTCCATTTATATATGTACTTTTAGAAGTTTTTGTCAAAAATGCTGTCAATTGTAATAGTGTTATTATATTATTAAGTCATATGTACGGTAAGAACACATCTCCTAGTTTAAAGTCCGCCATTGCTTAATTATTCTGCAGAAATCACTACTTGGGGGGCATTCATTTGGTTCAAATCCATTAAAACTTTTGTTGTTTGTTGTTTTGTTGAGATACATATCTCTTCCCCTAGCCCTCGAAACTTGGACAGGAAAGGGCACTCCTCAATTCCTTTTATTCTTAGAACGCTGTGAATTGGTCTTCTGCCCGTATCGATTATAGATTACTGTATAATCATGAGTTCGTTGCCTGCATTATTTAGGTTATGATGAATTATATTTGTTGCTGTTATGGTTGTCTCCGGAGCTGCCTGAACTTGGCCCAGAAAGAGTAAGTCCAGCCTCACATTGGAGTTACATGTTGAGGAAAAGTGAATATATTATGTATGACATTTGGATTTTTTTAGAGAAATTGTTATTGCTTCTTCAGTTATTAATATTTACTTGCATAAGATTGTTGCAAAATTATTGTAAGTCATCTGTCATGATATCTGCTGCAAAGTAAATTATGTGCCCTCGGGCAAGAGAAATGTAGGTGAATTTCATTCTATCCACGTAGGCACTTCACCCATAGGATTGGATCGACATGTTCATATGGGTATTTTTTTTATTTATTTTTTTTCTAACAACAAACAAACAAATTTATAAACTCAAGAACAAATTCACAAGAGATTGAGTAATCAACTGAATACACCCAACAACTTGACCCAGAAAGATCAAGAGGAAGGGAGTAAGGGATCAACACTATGACCCATCTAAGCCACACTTGTAGCGCCCGATTCATTTATTAGAATTTTCTAATATTATATTATTATTTATATGCCGATTTTTTTTATTTATTAAATGCTCCTCACGTTTATCTGCTTATTTATTTAATTGTTGTGTATCATTACTTATGCGAATATTATGTGTATATTTATTAATTATATGTGTTAGAATTTTAAGGATTTATTTGATTAGAATTTTAAACTAATCGGCGATGTTCGGTTTAATCGCGTAGAACCGTTTTAGATCCGTTTGGACTTGTTTTAGAAGTATTCGAACCGGATCATGTTAAACCAAGGAAATAAATAGCTCGCTAAAGTTGCCGCTATTTGAGAAATAGCTTTTTTTGGCAGCGTGCCGCTATTTGTATTCATGTACAATTTAGCCGCTAAATCCCGCTAAATCTCCGCTATAGCTCTGCTATAACTACAGTGCCATAAACGTTTTAGCCCGCTATTTAAAACCTTGTGTTAAACCTTATTTTAGTCCAATTTTCTTAGGATTTTCGGCCTAAAGCAACCTTAATTTTTCCAGCCCAAATCCTCCCGCGTAAGCATTAGAAAAACTGCTCCTATTTAGACTAAAGAAGTGAAGGTTTCAAATTCAAATTGAGGAGAAAAGGAAACTAATTTTGGAAGGAAGATTGTTCTCATTTGACTTCCTTGTGACCGTCCATTTAGGGCCCTTATAATCCCCCTATTATATGCCTCATTATGATGGGGAGAATATCATTGGTTCCTTGGGTCATTTAAGAAAATCTTTTTTCCTCCTTGTTGGGAAATAAGGTCGGATAAGATGGAATAATAATAATACACCAATGTGAAATCAGTAAAAGACACGAATATTTGTTAACCCAGTTCGGATTAAATCCTACGTCTGGGGGCGAACCAAGCCAGGAGAATGAACTAGAATAAGAGGATAAACCGAATGTTACAACTCACACAAGCCCGTATGAATACACTCTCTCTACTCTTTCTTCCTCTCTATCTCTCTTGTTATGTTTTTGGTTGTTGTGTTTTGTTCTTCAAATTTACATCTCTATTTATAGAGAAAAATGCTGCCAATTTTTCCACATATGTGTACTTCATTTTTTCTACACATGTGGGCTAGTGTTTTATTGTCTTCAATGGTGTGCTGTAGAAAAGAATAAGGCTGCAGCCCCTATTTTTTACTCAACAATCTCCCACTTGAGGACTAATTTCAATCTGTCCTCACACCTTCGTTATCTCCCACTTGAGGATTGATCAACATGTTCATCTCTGATCTTGGTTCTGCCGGGTCTGTCTGTTTTAATCATAAAGGCCGGTCGAAGCTACACACAGCTTCAACTTTTCCAAAGTTACCGCCTTGGTCAACATGTCTGCAGGATTCCTGTCTCCCCGAACCTTTTTCAACTGCAACATCTTCTTCTCTAGAAGTTGCCGGATGAAATGATACTTAATCTCGATGTGCTTCATTCGCGAGTGAAACGCGGGGTTCTTTGCCAGATGGATTGCACTCTGACTATCGCTGTATAAAGCCACATTCTCTTGAGGTCTCCCAAGTTCATTCAGAAAGTTTTGCAGCCAAACGAGCTCCTTGGCTGCCTCCGTCACTGCCACGTACTCAGCTTCCGTTGTTGACAATGTGACTATCTTCTGCAGCTTTGAGATCCAGGATACGGCCGTCCCGCTGTAAGTGAACACGTACCCAGTAGTACTCCTCCTCTTGTCATGATCACTTCCTGCAAAATCAGCATCGACAAATCAGATAGGGTAAGGGTACCCCTGCCAAATACCAATGCCTGGTCCTTAGTACCCCTCAGGTACCTAAGGATCCACTTTACCGCCTCCCAGTGTATCACTCCAGGATTGCTCATGAACCGGCTGACTACTCCCACTGCATGTGCTATGTCTGGTCGGGTGCAGACCATAGCGTACATTAGGCTCCCGATGGCCGAAGCAAACGGCGTAACTCTCATCCTTTCTTTTTCAGAGTCATCCTTGGGCGAATCCTTGTTGGACAACTTGAACTGGCTTCCCAATGGCACTCCAACCGGCTTTGCAATATTCATATTGAATCTGCACAACACCTTCTCAATATAATCAGATTGAGAAAGCCAAAGTTTACCAGCATTCCTGTCCCTCGTGATTTTCATGCCCAATATCTGTCTCGCTTCTCCTAGATCCTTCATATCAAATCTCCTTGATAGCTGATCCTTGAGCCTCTCGATCTCCTTGACATCTGATCCTGCTATCAACATGTCATCCACATATAACAGTAAAATAATGAAAGAGTTACCAAACCTTTTCACATAGCAACAATGATCAGCATTACACCTGGAGTATCCTATCACCAGCATGAAATTATCAAATTTTTGGTACCGTTGTCGAGGATCCTGTTTCAGTCTGTACAAGCTCTTCTTTAGGCGATAGACCTGCTGATCATTTCCTCTATATCCCTCTGGTTGCACCATGTAAATTTCCTCCTCGAGATCCCCATGCAGAAAGTCCGTCTTTACATCTAACTGTTGCAACTCCAAGTTTTCCGCCGCTACCATGCTTAACATTAGACGAATAGTGGTTAACTTAACAACAGGTGTAAAAACATATGTAAAGTCAATACCGTATCTCTGTTGGAATCCCTTTACTATAAGTCTGGCCTTGTATCGCTTCGTCCCATCTGATTCCTCCTTGACCCGATAAACCCATATATTTTGAAGAGCCTTCTTTCCTTTTGGGAGATCACACAAATCCCATGTGTGGTTCTTCTTCAACGAGTTCATCTCGTCCTCCATCGCAAGCTCCCATTTTCTCTTGTGGGCATCTTTAACTGCCTCTTCATAGCAGTCGGGTTCCCCAGAATCAGATAAAATTAGGTAATAAAGAGAAGGGGAGTACCTATCCGGGGCCCTTCTCATCCTCGGTTCTCGGCCCAGTGCCAGAGGCGTGCTGCTCTCAGCAATCGGTTCATTCGATTCTGGTTCTGCCTCTTCTTCTGTACGCTCGATCTCATCTATCTGAGCTCCCACTGAATTTGCTGGTCTCATGATTCTGGTATTTGAAATATCGAGACCAACATACTCATGCATGGTCTTGTAATCGTCCGGGTATTCCTTCATGTCCTTGTACATTATGTCTTCATTGAAAGACACATTACGACTGCGAATTATTTTTCGATTTTGATCATCCCAAAATCTATACCCAAATTCGTCAGTCCCATATCCAATGAATGTACATTTGACCGACTTAGCATCCAGCTTTGTCCGGCTGTCGTTCAAAACGTAAGCCAAACAACCAAAGGTACGTAAGAAAGAGAGATCAACTTCCTTACCACTCCAGACCTCATCTGGAAATCTGTTGTTCAGTGGGACAGAAGGCCCACGGTTGATCAAGAAAGCGGCCGTGCTGACTGCTTCTGCCCAAAACATCTTGGGCAGTCCACTCTTCAATCGCATGCATCTCGCACACTCATTCAGTGTCATGTTCATCCTCTCAGCAATGCCATTTTGCTGAGGTGTCCCTGGGACCGTCTTCTGCATTCGGATCCCACGATCAGCGCAGTATTCCTTGATGGCTTCACTGCTGTACTCGCCACCATTGTCGGATCTGAGACATTTCACTTCTAGACCTGTCTTATTCTCCACGAGTGCTCTCTATCTCCTTAAAGTATCAAAGGCGTCGGATTTTCTTTTCAGGAAGTACACCCATACCTTTCTTGTGCAGTCATCGACGAACGTCATGTAGTACATCGATCCTCCAAGAGATGTCACTGGTGCTGGCCCCCATAAGTCAGTGTACACGAGCTCCAGTTTTTCTGTCTTTGGAGCTCTCCCGATGGTTATGAAACTCACTCGCTTCTACTTTCCAAGCACGCATTGCTCTCAGAGACCCACGTCCACTGACTCCAACTCGGGTAAAAGTCATCTCGACTTTAGTACCTTCATTCCTTTCTCGCTCATGTGGCCCAAGCGAC